ACGGGCTCAGGCAATCCACTCACCTCAGCCTCCCAAGCTGCGGGATTACAGGCTGAGCCAGCGAGCCTGGCTGAGCCCAGGGGTTTGAGACCACTCTGGGCAACTTGGCGAGATCTCATATCTGCAGTAAAGAAGAAAATTAACTGAGCATGGTGATGTGCGCCTGTAGTTCCAGCTACTTGGAAGGCTGAGGCAGAAGGATCTCCTGAGCCCCGCAGGTCAAGGCTGTAGTGACTGTGAGCATGCCACTGAACTCCAGCCTGGGTGAGAGTGAGACTCCGGCTAAAAAAAAAAAAAAAAAAAATTGGGCTGGGCATAGTGGCTCATATCTGTGGTCCCAGCACTTTGGGAGGCTGAGGCAGTAGAACCGCTTGAGCCCAGGAGTTTGATGCCAGCCTAGGCAATATAGCGGGACCTCATTTTTACAATAAATAAATAAATAAATAAAATTAGCTGTGCATGGTGCTGCATGTCTGTAGTCCCAGCTACTTGGGAGGCAGAAGGATTGCCTGAGTCCAGGAGGTTGAGGCTGTGGTGAGCCATGATTGTGCCACTGTACTTCAGCTTGGGTGACAGAGACAGACTCCAAAAATAATTAAAATAAAATAAAAATTTAAAAATCAACTATTTTTAGAGATGAGGTCTTGTTCTATCATTCAGGCTAGAGTGCAGTAGCATGATCATAGTTCACGGTAGCGTTGAATTCCTGGGCTCAAGTGATCTTCATGTCTCAGCCTCTCCAGTAGCTGAGTCTACAGGTATGGACCACCATGCCTGGCCAGTTTTAAAAAAATTTTTTTTTTTTTTTGAGTTGGAGTCTCACTCTGTCACCCAGACTGGAGTGCAGTGGCCACTCCCGGCTACCGCAGCCTCGACCTGGTGGGCTCCAGCGATCCTTCTGCCTCAGCCTTCCGAGTAGCTGGAACTTACAGGCGTGCGCTACCACACCCGGCTCATTTTGATTTATTGTAGAGATGAGGTCTTGCCAAGTTGCCCAGGCAGGTCTGGAACCCGCAGGCTCAGGCAATCCACTCACCTCAGCCTCCCAAGGCACGGGATTACAGGCTGAGCCACTGAACCCGGCTTAAAAAAATTTTTTAGGGACAAAGTCTTGCTGTGTTGTCCGGTCTGATCTCAAACTTCTGGCCTCAAGTGATCCTCCTGCCTCAGCCTCCTGATCTATTTTTTTGTGCACAGACAGACATATTTGCACCAGGGATGTCACAAGGGACTTTGGAGGTAGATGGGAGGTCCCCAGAGAATGAGGCTCCAGCCTTCCCAGTTACCCAGCACTGCCTTTCCTCCAGGCCTCCCCCAAGTTCCGATCCTGAGTGACCCCAGCCCACTCTGTCCACAGGGCCGAGGGGGGCTGGGCTCCATCTTTGTCTGGGCCTCGGGGAACGGGGGCCGGGAACATGACAGCTGCAACTGCGACGGCTACACCAACAGTATCTACACGCTGTCCATCAGCAGCGCCACACAGTTCGGCAACGTGCCCTGGTACAGCGAGGCCTGCTCGTCCACACTGGCCACGACCTACAGCAGTGGCAACCAGAACGAGAAGCAGATTGTGAGTCTTGCCCGGTGGGGGGCTAGGAAAGTGGGGCTGCTTGCTGGCTCTGCCCTGGTTCCCTTTTTGGACCCCACTGTCTCCCACCCCACGTGGCAGGGTGATAGTGACTTAGGCAACACGGGGTGTGAGCTCTTAGGGACGTGGAGCCGTCCGTGTAGTCCTTGAGACGTATAGACTCCCTAAAAGCCTAGCATTGCTCTTAATGAGCTCCAGCCTTCGGTTGAACCCCCTTATTCCTCGGGAAACTGAGGTCCAAAAGGGGCTAGTACTGGCAAGTTAGTAAGGCAGTAGCTAGGACCCTGGTGCCTTGGCCCTGGCTCACCACACCATCTGTGGTACCAGGGAGGGCAGGCCGGTGGCCCTTCTAGTCCCTCCACCCGTCACAGGCCCCATTATGATTGTCCTCCTGGCAGGTGACCACTGACTTGCGGCAGAAGTGCACGGAGTCTCACACGGGTACCTCCGCCTCTGCCCCCTTGGCAGCTGGCATCATCGCTCTCACTCTGGAGGCCAAGTATGTGGGTGGGGGTGCTGAGGGGCCACCCTGTGCCTACCAGCAGTCTTTGCAGCGCAGCCTATAATCTCTGGTTGTTCCCCCAAAAGATCAAGCCCTGGTCTCTCCTTTGCAGTAAGAACCTCACCTGGCGGGACATGCAGCACCTGGTGGTACAGACTTCAAAGCCTGCCCACCTCAATGCTAACGACTGGGCTACCAACGGTGTGGGCCGGAAAGGTGAGGGCAGGTGGTCCGGTGGGCTGGGTGTGGAGGTAAGTAGGGGTGCTCTGTACCTCCCAGCTGACCCTAATTTCCCTGTCCCCACAGTGAGCCACTCGTATGGCTATGGTCTTTTGGACGCAGGGGCCATGGTGGCCCTGGCCCAGAACTGGACAACGGTGGCCCCCCAGCGGAAGTGCATCATTGACATCCTCACAGAGCCCAAGTGAGACCTGGACCCAGACTGGAAGGGGACTGGTGGGACCCGAGCGTCCCAAGGGATGCTTGCTGGTCCCTCTGAGCCAGGCTGACCATCCTGGTGCTCTCCTGCACAGGGACATTGGGAAACGGCTGGAGGTGCGGAAGACCGTGACTGCGTGCCTGGGCGAACCCAACCACATCACCCGGCTGGAGCATGCCCAAGCTCGGCTCACCCTGTCCTACAATCGCCGTGGCGACCTGGCCATCCACCTGGTCAGCCCTATGGGCACCCGCTCCACCCTGCTGGCTGCCAGGTGCTTGCCCTGTCTGCTGCCTGTCTTGCCCAGCACCCTTCCCCCCCCACCGCCCACACGTACCCTTCATTCACTCACACACCCTGAGGTTGGCAAGTGCTGCTCTGGGGGTCTCTCTTGGCATTTGGGGAGGGACAGCTTTGTCCCATGTTGCAGGAATCCCTGGCTTCTCCCCTTTGAATGCCAGTAGTGTGCCTGCTGTTGTGTGGTGCCCTGCACCTTTCTAGAAGCCCCCAGCCGAGAACATCTGGTTTGCTGGCATTTCCAGCCTGGCGGGTTGGTGCTCCTGGGGGCAGGGTGTGTGTTCCTTGTGTTGTGGGTCAGAGGTCTCCTGGCCTGTGCTTCTCCCAGAGGCCTCAGACAGTGTGTGTACTGCCCCCCTCAGGCCACATGACTACTCTGCAGATGGGTTTAACGACTGGGCCTTCATGACCACCCATTCCTGGGATGAGGATCCCTCTGGCGAGTGGGTCTTGGAGATTGAAAACACCAGTGAAGCCAACAACTATGGTACTGGGGCGCTTGCGGGTGGGAGGGGGCGTGAGGAGGAGAGGTGGCGGGATCTGGGGTGCTGGGCATGGTGCCAGCACCCTCTTATCTTGCCTCCTGACTCTGGAATAGGGACGCTGACCAAGTTCACCCTTGTACTCTATGGCACGGCCCCTGAGGGGCTGCCTGCACCCCCTGAGAGCAGTGGCTGCAAGACCCTCACATCCAGCCAGGCCTGTGTGGGTCAGTAGTGGGCGCTGCTGGGCTTGGGGGGTCTGAGGCTGGGGCGACAGAGCATGCCTATCCTGAAGGCCAGCTCTAGGGAGGAAGAGGTCTCAAGAGACCCTGGGTCCCTTGGGATGACCACAGTTCTGCAACTGGGGGCTCCTGGGAACTGGTGACTGCACCTGGGGCTGCAGGCTCATGTGGCCCTATGGCCACGGTCGGCTTAGCTGACACCTGCCCTCTCTCCCTGTTCCGTGCTGGCAGTGTGCGAGGAAGGCTTCTCCCTGCACCAGAAGAGCTGCGTTCAGCACTGCCCACCAGGCTTCGCTCCCCATGTCCTCGACACACACTACAGCACCGAGAATGACCTGGAGACCATCCGGGCCAGCGTCTGCGCCCCCTGCCATGCCTCGTGTGCCACATGCCAGGGGCCAGCCCCCACAGACTGCCTCAGCTGCCCCAGCCACGCCTCCCTGGACCCGGTGGAACAGACCTGTTCCCGGCAGAGCCAGAGCAGCCGCGAGTCCCCGCCACAGCAGCAGCCGGCCCGGCCACCCCCGGAAATGGAGACAGAGCCGCGGCTGCGAGCGGGGCTGCTGCCCTCACACCTGCCCGAGGTGGTGGCTGGCCTCAGCTGCGCCTTCATCGTGCTGGTCTTTGTCACTGTCTTCCTGGTCCTGCAGCTACGCTCGGGCTTCAGCTTCCGGGGGGTGAAGGTGTACACCATGGACCGTGGCCTCATCTCCTACAAGGGGCTGCCCCCCGAAGCCTGGCAGGAGGAATGCCCGTCTGACTCAGAAGAGGATGAGGGCCGGGGCGAGAGGACCGCCTTTATCAAAGACCAGAGCGCCCTCTGACGAGCCCACTGCCCGCCCCTCACGCCGATCCCCTCCTTGGGCACTTTTTAATTCACCAAAGTATTTTTTTATCTTGGGACTGGGTTTGGACCCCAGCTGGGAGGCAAGAGGGGCAGAGACTGCTTCCCATCCTACCCTGGGGCCCCCCTGGCTGCCCGGGGTGAGGGCCCAGGACCTGCTGGGGGTGGGAGGGGCCTACTCCCGGCCCGGCTCCATGTGGAGAAAGGAGTGAAACCTTTAGGGCAGCTTTCCAAACCCCAGCCCCAGCCCGAGTTTGCCTGCGGAGTGAAGAGGGGCAGTCCTTCCTTTCTGGGATTCCTGACCCAGTCTGCAGCTCTTGCCCCTTCCCTGTCCCTCTAAAGCAATAATGGTCCCATCGAGGCAGCAGGGAGGCTGGTCTAGGCGGTATCTGAAGGAGAAGGCCACCTCTCCAAGGGCTTTTGCATCCCCGACCCTGTCCCCCGCCTCTGGTGAGCCTTGGCGGAAGCGGCCATCATAGGAAGGGACCATGGCAAGGCAGGTGCTTCCAGGTGTGCGCGTGTCCCCTCGCCTGCCTCTGCACTCCGTGCCTCCACCATAGCTGCTGCCAGGCTGACTCGGCTGGCACGGCCAAGGCTGAAGCTCCGGCTGAGCCCCATGCTGGTGTTCTGACCTCCCTCCCGTCCCCTGCGCCCTCCCCTCCCGCCAGGGCCCAAGTCCCTGTTTTCTGAGCCCGGGGCTGCCTGGGCTGTTGGCACTCACAGTCCCGGAGCCCCTGGGTGGGTGGTGGGGAGGGACGGTGGCCCAGCCGGCCCCTCCCGCCTCCTACCCGATGCTGCTTTCCCCTGTGGGGATCTCAGGGGCTGTTTGAGGATATATTTTCACTTTGTGATTATTTCACTTTAGATGCTGATGAATTTTTTTTTTTTTTTTGTATTTTTAACGGGGGTAGCAGCTGGACCACCCACCTTCTCACACCCACCGTCCACCCTGCTCCTCCCTGACTGCCCTGGCCCTGAGGTGTGAGGGCTGCAGCATGTTGCTGAGGAGTGAGGGGCAGCTGAGCCCCAAGTCCTGAAGAGGTGGGCTCAAGGAAAGGGGGGTCGTGGTGGGAGGGGCAGGCTGACATCCATGTTTCCAGTGGGGCTCCCTGTGCCAAGGGCTCATGGGTCACTGGCTCTCCAAGTGCCAGGGGTGGGCGGGTGGTGGCCCCGAGCCCCCTCCAACACTGTGCCCTGGTGGAGAACGCACTGACCTGTCATGCCCCCCAAGCCCGCTCTTCTGACGTGCCTTTTGCACCCCTCCCATTAGGACAATCAGTCCCCTCCCATCCGGGAGCCCCCTTTTCTTTCTCTCTCCTCCCCATTCCTGGTACCCAGCCACCTGCCCGGGGTGCCTCCCCCTCCCATCCCTTCCCTGCGCCCCCACCCTTGTGGCCAGCCCAGCTGGTTTTGTAAGATACTGGGTTGGTGCACAGTGATTTTTTTTTCTTGTAATTTAAACAGACCCAGCATTGTTGGTTCTATTTAATGGACACAAGATAATGTTAGAGGTTTTAAAGTGATTAAACGTGCAGACTATGCAAACCAGGCCCAGTCTCCAGTGTGTGATGTTGCTCTTCCCAAGACTGCTGGCTGTGTCCCCGCTGGGGGTGGGGGTAGGGGTTGGGAGGCCAGTTAGACCTAGGGTGTCCTGCCTTTATGTGGACCCAAGTGACAAGGCCAAAGCCCATTTCTGAGAGGCTCTAGGGCCTCCTGCTGGGAGTGAATGCAACAGCCCCCACTGGAAGGAGACTGCAGCCCGGGGAGGGCCTAGTGCCCTGGGCCTCGAGCCAAGCTGAGCATTTCCACTCCCGAAATCCTGGTTTCCAGTGGTGGACAGTAACTGAACCTGCGTCCTGGTTATTCAGTGTCTTTCCTGGCTGTCGGCTGAGGCCTCGGATTGGGCCCGGCGGAGCCAAGATGACCTTTTTTGCTAGGGAGAAACTGAGTCCCAAGTGCCTCCGCACTCCCAGCCCCTGCCCCTTGACTGTCCCGGACCCTGCCCGGGGGTAGGAGGGCGGCGACGTGTCATCAGGACCGTTTCTGTAAAGCAGGCCTCTTCCTGGGATACTTACTTGGAAATTTTACTCAAACGGAGGCTGGCGCCTGGCCCTCCTCAGGGAATCCGGGGAGGCGGGAGG